ATTCATTGTTCATCATATTTACTATTTGAAATTCATCAGTAAGGAAGATTGGCTATGTCTGATTCATTTATAATACGTTCATTTCCTATATGATTATCTATTTCTGTTTGTGCCTTCTTTAAGACTTCTGGATTGTTCAGTAAAAGAGACAACGCCCACTCCATTGTTCCGGCTGATGTATTGGTCCCTCCTGACAACAAAGTCTAATTGTACAATGATTTTAGACATTCATATAGAGTGCATCAAGATTTTTTTGGATAAGAAGAATGCACATATATGTAACAGAATATACAGCCCCTGTTGGTAACTATTAAAATTCAGATTTTAATCTAAGTCAAAGTAAACAATTAATTTTAACCAAATATTTCATGGATTTCCTGACTTTTCAACCACACATTTAATCAACTTTTATCAAAATCTATTAAAAATCTGATTTTAATCCCACAAAGCAGGGGCATAGTAAGTGGAATATAACAGAAAAATAAGTGGAATCAGAGAACTTGCCATCACGAGGTTTCTGATAATTCTATCTGTGTAATATTCAGGTTCTTTCTCCTGCAGCTTCAACAGTACTTCAATCATTGTATTATCCTTTCTTCCCACTTCACCAGCTGCTGTACTCACCATTCCTTTTTTACATTGTTCCACCAGTTCCTGCATGAACATGTCTCTCTTTTTCTGTAACATCACCAATCTTTTCTCGGCCCCTCCAGCTCCCAGCCACCTTAACACTGGCAAAAAATCTTGTATTCTTGTCGCACCTACAATCCGAGGAGTATCATGCACAATCTCCCTAAACCTCTTTGCCATCTTGATATCTTCCACATTCTCACCGTAATATTTTTTTCCAGCAATCATTCTCATCATCACATTCATCATCATGTCGTAGAAGGCAGTTTTCATATCAACAGTCTGACGTGCGTCTGAATATCGGTGGAGCGTTTTTATCATGTCCTTGATCTCATCAGTACGAACACTCTGAAGCATCTCGAGTCTATGAGTGGATAACAATTCAATTGAAGATATTTTTCGAAGGTTTCTCCAATGGTCACCATAAGGAGACCATACAACGGTTGTATAATCATTTCCTATATGTTTTCCTGCAATCAGATTGGGCCGGTTGGCAAAAATAATATCGTTTTTATGGAGGCACTCCTCGGCCGACGAAGGTGAGGACACGACCAGGACACGGCGGGAGCCAAATTGAAGTAAAAGTATTGGGCCGTAACTGTCAGAAATCTTGGCTAAAGATCTGTAGAGGGGTTTCTCCAGCAGATGGAGATGGCCAAAAATGGGCAGATTAAGAAGGGGACTAGGTGGGAGATTTTTCAGTTTACGAAGAGAGTGTTTAGTGAAGATATGCAAGGCAATTATGAGAGGAATGTATCCAAAGAGATAGTCCATTTTAATGTATATAGATGTCTGTCTCTCTATCTTGTAGATTATGTTATTGAATTGCAGCATTTATATATAATATATGCTGAGCTTGGTTAAGTGGAAATTTCACCTGGAGTCTAGCTTTTAAAAGTGTAGTATCCTGGTCTCTGAACTATCAATTGCCGCATTCGGCTTTCCAAAATTTCAACTTTGTAGACTTTGGGACCTTAATTGATAGAAAACGTTTATTTAGTGCATGATCGGTGAAGCTTAAATATTTTTGAAGTGTCTATAGGTTGTGGATTTTAAGTATTTTTTAAGAGTCGCTGTACAGAAAGCACAATAAATTATAAATCACACACCGATTCAATATAAGGTGCCGATTTGACACAAAAAACAAAGCCAAAGAGTCCAATCCTTAGAAACTTAGTTTAGAGGCAAAAATTAATTAAAAAAACTTATGCGACCTTCAGAGTAGAAATGACAACGGAGCGGGTATGGGACGGGTCAGCTATTCCACCCCGTCCCGTTGAATATTTTTGTTACCTTGCCTCATAGCCCCCATCCCCATACCTGGTTAAAGCAGGACAGGGTGGGGCCGGTCCCTTACTCCATTTATCGCCCCATTTATTTTTTATTTATTTTGTTTTTTTGTTTTTATTTTTTATATTTTTAGTTAGTAAATATTATTACTTTTTTACAAATTTCTTAAAAACTTATGTTCTCTTTAATACTAATGATAAACCTATTATTTTTGTTTGATAAGAAACTTAAATTTGAAGTTAACTTTAAACAGGACGGGTAGCGGGACGGGAACTATATTTTCCATACCCGCTTCAGGGTAAGGACCATCACACCGTGTACCCGGTTAGGCGGGTAATTCCCGTCCCATTTGGGACGGGGCCTCACGAGTATCGGGTTGAAAAGTGTTTTTTTGCCATCTCTGCTTCAGAGAAACAAACTAACTGCCTTAATAGCAATTGCAGTAAAAGAGAAATCCATGCGTAACCCTTTTTTCTCC